ATTTAAGGAATTTTTGCCCGGGCAGGAGTAAGGAACGAGAGGTAGCCCTTAAACTTTTTGCTTTTTAGAAAAGTGGGGAGTAAGTCCGATAAAAATCTTAGCCGCGCTGATTGGTCTGGGCAAGGCTAAGGGACACTTTAAAGAGCCAAATTTATTGTTTGAAGAATCAGAATGGTGTGATAATCTTTTAGACCCTGATGCTGTAAATCCTGAAAAAGAATCTGGACTGTCTGGTCTGTATCCTCCCTTAATTGGGGATGATCCATAGATAAAAGTGAGGCAAAAAAAACCAAAACAAAAAAACGTAAAAGTGAGGCGAAAAAAACATGGCACAAGGGAATATGGACATGGCAAGAAAAATTCTTACTCCTGTAAGCTATGAGCCAAGTCATCAGCCATGTTGGTAAGAACGGCATTTTTCTGTTATTAAAGATTTAGAGAAAAGCATTAGTAAGGACGGGCTGCAAAATCTCAGTTACAACAGCTGTACTGGAGGCGATGGCTCAGAGATATCGACTGGCCCCATAAAAATTGGCTCACTCTTTTAAGAAAAAAAAAAACGGCATTCACGCCAGCACAGTACTCTGAACCTGGAAAACCGAGGTGTACATCTCTGTGCTCAGCATTCGAAGCTGGCGGCGGCAGCCCGGGGCCCCCCTGCCACAGAGTGGCAGCCTGCGGCTGAGCCCGGCACTGCGCTCTCGGCACACACACACACACACACACACACCCACCCCAAAAGCGGCAGGGTTATGCAGCACAGGCTTTATATGTTCTTAATGGAGTCTTCGTATTTGTAGTATTTGTCATTTTATGCTGTGAGTAATAAGTGTCAGGAGCTACTTTGTGTGTTTGTGCGATTGTGTGTGTGTGCGATACGCGGCCCACTGCAGCTGCAGAGTTCTCCGACCAGTGGAGCGGCCAGCAAGGAACGACAGGGTCCTAGTGCCCGCCCGCTGGGTCATCGGTGCTGCGGTTTGTTTGGGCTCAGTGTTCTAACCGTTACAGGTAAAATACCTCCTCTAACGGGAGGCAGTAATTCTGTGTTGATTGTTGTTTTGAATTTAGGTGCATACTCTGTGGGGAGAGTGCACCTCTGAACCATCTGCCTAATGGAAATATTGTTAAAAAAATCATCTGCAACCTTACAGGGGTTGTTTGTTTTACCAGGGTTTGTAGATGCTGATTATGAAGAGAAAAATCAAAATTATGGTCTGTACCCCTATGTTCAGTAACAAAAAAGTAAAAAAATGTTCAGCTTGTTAAAGAAGCCGCAATTACTCAGGATTTGGATCAGCAGGTACCCCTTAAATATTTTTGGACTTAAACAGTGACACAAGGTTAACTTCTGGTGAAATGTACTCTTGTTAAAGCTAGAAAATCTGTTGAGCTGACAGGCATTTTAGATGCTGGTGCAACCAACACCAAAGGGGATAGCAGTAATAAAACAGTGAAACTTTATCGTGTTGCCCGTGAAGTGGCACGCGATAGAGATGGGTGAAAGAGAGAAGTAAAGTTTTAGAGAGAGAAGGAAGAGAGAGGTTATAGCTATCACCGCTGATCTCACGACATCCTAACGGTCCCAGGTCCAGCTGATGCTGCGTCGTCGATCGTCGTGGTCCTTGGTGAGGAAGCTTCCAATTTTCGTTGTCCAGAAGTCATCCTTTTATGCTCAGTAACACACCTTGCTCCACCTCCGCCTTGGGGGTCTCCGCCCTTCTTGAGCGAGGCCATCGCACATGTGCAGGGAGGGGCGTCCGAGGCATGGTAAGTCTTGGAGGTGAGTAGCCTTCCACCAGGAGGTGTGTTTTGGTATTATAATGAAGCAAAGTTCATCTAAGGTTCATAATTTCTTCATCGATGTTATGGTAACAGTTGTGATCCATCTTTTTTGGCAGTGGCTATGTGGTTATCTCTAACAGCTCTGGCTGGGCCCAGGCACCGAACAATAGCACAGCACTCATGGTACTGCATGGCTCAGGCACTGCAGAACAGCCCAGCACTGCCTGCACCACACGGGTCAGTGCTCAGGAGAACAGCCCAGCACTCGCTGTGCCGCACAGTTCTGCATTCAGGAGCCTTGGCACCACATCCCACTCCAGGGATCCGCAAGGCCAAGCAGGCCGTTGTCAGGTACCTCACTGTCCATGTCCATGATGACAATGTTGAGACAATGCTGATCTTCTGACCGACTCTTACAGCGTGTGACAACAGGGAGCACCCTGGAGCCCCTCGCAGTCCCCGGTCAGTCCCTGCCCGCCCCCTTCGGCAGCACCGGGCCACTGCCGGTCCCCACGCAGCCCCAACACGGGGCGAGCGGGAGGGCTCAGGGCCACAGGGAGGTCTGAGGCCGCACACAGCTTGGGGCAGGAGGGGCAAGGACCAGCCCATGCCAGGTTTGGTTCCTCCTCAGCTCTGCCCCAAGAGGAGCCTGTTCACAGGAAGACACACAAGCTGGTAAAAAAATACAGGAGGGGTGTTGTAGAGGGCACCAGGTCCACAACATCCTCCTCCCTGTTTACCAGGAGCCAGAGAGGACAGTGGCACTTTCACCCTGCTGCAGAGGGAGGGCATTCAGCAACCCCTGTAACGGTCTTCCACATCAGCATCAACAACAGTCATGTAGACTCCCTTGAGCAGAAACATAAAGGGGGAAATTTGGGTTAAACTTGTCAAAATTCCCTAGCTGAGCACACAGAAATCTCTTCTTGCCCCATGCAGACACAACTTTGGTTTGTCACAGCATGTTAGCGAAGAATTAAGAGGCAAGAGGAGCAATGAAAAATTAAACTAAATTGATAATTCATTAATTTAAAACTTAAATCACATCATTTTAACTAAAGAGTTACATTTCAATTCTCACTCAAAGGCAGTCATTATTCCAAAGTTCCTGCGTGTTCAGGCAACCTCAACAAATGAGAACAGAGGGTCCTGTGTGAAAGGAACAACAAACCTGTTTCCTTCTCTGACAGTGTAACACCCCGTCAAGGGTGGGTACCTGAGTGTGACCCCCAGAAAGCCCCCACACCCTCCCCTGATGCTCCCATAAACAGGCTGACAGGTCTGTCTCCATTGCATCACTGATGGCTGATGGAAAACTGCCCCCAGGAGCACGGCTGAGCTGAGATGTCCTGGTAATTCTCAGCTGAAATGGTGCCCGTTTGTGGGGATCATCCTTCAGGAAGGATACACACCAATTAGGCAGCATCCAGGGACTAGCACTAAGGAGGATGAGGGTATCAGGTGACACAGTCTCAGAGGATCATTCATAAGGTGAATGGACTTGTTTAACATCAGGAAGAGAAGGCAGGAGAGAGCTGTGTGAGGGCCTTTCACCGTGGAAAAGGATGCTGCAAATAAAACAGGAATTAACTTCTCCCCCTGCCCCAAGTTGCAGGCGAGGAGGAGCGGGCTTTAAGTGATGCAAAGGAAATGTATTTGAGGTGCTATGGAAACAGAATGCAGACATGGTTTGAGAAGTATGTGGTATCCTGAGTGAGAAGGAGGAATTACCCTTTGCACCTCCTAATGCAAGGAACAGAGAGCTCTCACATCTTGGCCACCTTACGGAACAGATGGGTACCCTCTAAGGTGACAGCTGAAGCAAAGCACTTATTCACGTCATTTCAAGTGCAGGATTTCAAAATATTTTTTCGGGAGGAGGTGAAGATTTCACCAGTCTGTTTTTTTCAGAGCTAGTGAGGATGTATTATGGATTAATGTGTTGCAGACACCACATGGTGAAATGTTAAACTCTGTCTTTCAGAGGCAACTGCCATAGATGGTCAGAATGTGCCTTTTATTATTTCACTAATATATTTACAGCATAAACTGCAGCCAGAGTGTGTCTGATCATAGGACTATCTCCAGACTCAGCCCACTAACGTGTGGTGCATTCCCAATTCAGTGAAAAAATATTGGGCAACTTGACATCTGAAGGTCTGCCAAGTGTCTGGGTAGTATCATCTGTACCTCAGAGACGTTTCCATCAATATTCCAACATTGTGGAGTTACAAGCTCATCCCTCCAGAGGAATAAAAATATATCCTGCTGTTAAGAATACAAGGAAATACACTCAAAACAGACTTACTTCAATCTACCAGCACAGAGCAGCTCAATTACAGCTCTGACTTTCCCAGAGTGCTGCTTTGGTCATACATAATTTTTTCAGTCCTGATATATCAGTAATAAAACTTAGCCTGTCATGCAAAAAACCAAGAATTACTTCTAAATTTGCTTTTGTGATTAGATGGCTTATAAAGCCATTTCTACTTTCAAAGCAAAGGCTAGTAGCTCCTGAGAGGAGCTTAGCCATTCACAAGATAACGCTACAATACAGAATGCTTCAGCCCGAGTAAGGTTACAGTATCAGAAATCCTCAAGAGCTGTGAAAAACACCAACTAGATTCTTTCTGTAGGAAATAAGTTTAGCAAACAGTAAACCACTGGCTAACAGAAGCAGATGTTTTCCAAACTTGGAACAGTTGCCTATTGTGAATCTTTATATTTTCAGTATCTACAGTTTTTGAGAGAAACCTCTGACACAGAACTGGCAAAAGACAACCCTGCATCCAAGAGCAGTCCAATGCCAGTTTGCAGCAATGCCCATTTTATTTGAAGCAGAGAACATTTTGCCACCCTGCTGAAAAGCCTGAAAGTATTTGGATGTCTATTTTCCACCTTGATTTGGCAGATATTCCCAGGGGAGCCAGAGCCACACAAGCATGCTTCCCCTGCTGAATTTCAGGATTGTGTCCCAAAAAGTGCCCAGTTCACATGGGTCCAATCATCTATCCTGACACATATCAAAACTTTTTAACTTACCTTCTTGAAAGCTCAGGGAAATTGTGAACACATGGAAGGAAGCTCTGCCACCAAGTCTTTAGAAATTACAGACACAATAACAAGTTTTTCCCACAGTATGGTACAAGTTTAATTGTGCAAAAAGACAGTCATCAAGACTTCAGCTTGTTGTGAACTGAACACAATTCCATTGATGTACAGCATATACAGCATAATTGTTTTTGAGACAACCAAGCAGTTCGATACACTGAGATGCTGTTCTCAAGTGATTTAGACTACCTGTCTTTAACTACTGTACATCAACAGAATCAAAGAAATGACACCTAAAAGGAAAGCTATTAGCAGACTGCACTAACTCAGAAGAACATTAAAAAAGGGTTTAGACAGTTTCCCCAGTGATGGCCAAGAATTAGTCTGCGGTACTGTAGGCACACAGTGCAACTCCTCTGTTCAACACAGCATATATCGTGTTTCAGCAAAACAAAAGGCTTTCCCAATGCCAACATTTCTGTCAAGCACAGGAAGACAAAGCATTAACAACCTTTAAAATTGCATTTCAAACTATGACACACCAATGGTGTTGCAAAAGAAAGAGATGAGATATAAAAACACCCTAAAAACAACAACTTCCAGAGCTCAATCCTCTGGCTCCACCACTTAATAAAACAAAACCCCCTCTCAAAATAATACTTATAGAAAAGAAAGGCATTGCTGAAACCCCTTGTCCCATTAAAATCTTCCTGTAGTGTCTACATCACTGGGGGGAAAAAAAAAAACAAAACCAACTCAACAGTTTTCAAAGCAAATCCTCTCCTGGCGCATCCATGTTTTAACACAGCCAGATAGATCATTTGCAATATTGTTCCCTGCAGCTACTTTTTGGTCTTCACAAATTTATGCGCTTCTTGCAAAAGCATTTCAACATCTTCATTATCCTTGTCTTCTGAACTGGGTTCCCAGTCAGAGTCTTCATCAGTAGGTTCGCACTCCTCTTCCTCATCATCTATAAAGCCATCATTAAGGTCATATTCATTTGGTTCATCATCATTGGCACCACCTTTCTCCACAGCCATTTTTCCTGTAGGGACAAAAAGATCATATATTCATGAACCATAAATACAGAAAGAAAGAGACTTTCCAGAGACCACCTGGTTAATCCCTGTCCTCAAGAGGAGAAAGAAACAACTAAAGTCCTTCCAGCACTTAGAAAACAGTATCAGGCCTCTTCTGATAACAACTTCTGATATTAGAAGAGAACAGCATCAGGTAACGTCTTCTGATAACTCTCCTCTCCTTAAGGAGTGGCATACACAATTTTCCTAGTCGTCTTCCTGCTACTTCTGTACCTAAACAATATACCTGTCTTGCTGTTTGTTATTGCCAGGTGGTTATTCTGACCCTGGATTTTCTGCCTTCGTCCATACATACTTCCTCAGGGCTATTTTATACTCATACCCTCTGCAATCTGACATTTCCATCCATTTCATTTCCATTCACTTCTTTCCTGAGCTTCAGATGAAAGAAAGGAATCTGCTAGATCACTTGCCTCCTACGTTCTCAGTTGGGATCCCTGCTGGATAGTCTGTGTTTCCTTTCTGAACATGGATTTAGGAAACAACAACCACTGAACACTTCCCTGAGCTGGGTGCATTCCAGTTCAGTCTATTCTATCACACTGCTTTCTAACTTGCTGTTCATCCATTTTTTTCACAACTTACATTTTGTGATCAAATTGTTGTCTGCCTTCACAGTATTTCACAATACTCTGTCTTGCCAGGAATCAAAGACTCAGAAACCTCTATTTACAAGAAATGGATGCTGTTCACAGCATGTTCCTAAACATTTTAGACAGCTTGTCTCGCAATATTAAACCAATTTCCAGAAGCAGGGTAACTCTGTTATGTGAAGAAGCCTGACTGGTAGTGTCTATACAAAGCTGCTGCCATGGCAGCCTTCTTTCTCCTTTTATTGATCAGTAGCTGTGAACCTTTAACAAGTTTATTTCCCCTGCTTCCTGATTTTGCAGATGTGTGTAATCCTTGTTCCACAAGCCTATGCTATCTCCCTTTTTCTTACACGTCCACAATTCCTAAGTAGCCACAGTCTGCTAATATTCCAATCATGGTTTTGTGCCCTTAAGTCATACTTCTGCATAAACACATATTCATTCCTCTTCTTCCCAGCCTCCAATTTTTGCATTCTTATCTCCTCTAGAGGTAACCTGACAATGACCTCATACAGAAAATTTATCTGTTGAGCAGTTCTTATCATCTTTCATATGAAACTATAAACATGTATTTTTTTCTGAGCTGTACATAATCAGTCCAAATCACCAACGTTTATACTAACCGTAAGTATTTCTTAGCAACCTCTTGAAAACTCTGCTCAGAGCTCCAGGCACTCAAGCCATGCATGAGGTGAGGAAACAAGAACACCAGTACCTCATGTAGTCAGATCACATCCTCCACCAGTTACATTTTTCTACTCGTGGGAACGTTACTATTCCAGAGTTATCTTATGGTCTGATTAACATTTTGTACTCTATAGCAACCCTCAGCCAAGGTTTTCAAAAGCACTTACAGCATTAGTTAAGTTTCTCAAAGATACACCACCTTATGAGTGAATTGTGCTACAGAGGCACCGAATGACCTCCTAGAATAATGTCAGCCACGTGCGACACAGCCAATAATATAACTGAAAACATCCTATGGCTGCCAATTGATATTCTTTGAAGGACTGACTGTGCACCACCTAGTAGAAAATCCTGAAAATGCCAACTGTCAATTTGAGCTGTAATCTGCTATTAAACTTGCTAGTTTATTGCTTACCAGATTTCAGAGGAAATTAAATCACGTCCATGTTAACCCATACCAGCAGAATTTTTTATAGGAATCACAGATTATGGTCCTGCAGAATGAATTACGTCTTGGAGGGAAGAGGTCAAAACAAAGATGCTAAATGCAGTAAGAACAAAATCTCACTTCTCAGACTAAACTTGTGAGAATAATAAGCTCAAGATCCACTTAGCAAAGAAAAGCTCTTCACTTGCACAGCACTGTGGGTCATATTTTACAACAGAAGTTGGAATTCTGGCAAAATACTGATTACTTCTGTATTCTTCCCACAAATTCATGAGGAATATACTATGGTTTTGCTCCCTCTACGTCAATGCTTTTAGATTTCAGCAGTAAATGATGCACTTTTTCCATGCCTTCCCACTCCACCTCTCTGCTATAGTTTAATTCAGCCCCACAGCCCTTAAAGCTGCTCATTAAGCACAATTCTGCCTTTTCCCTAGTACCATATTTATAAAGATGACCTTGAAAATTTCTCTGAAACTATCTCCTTCATGGGGTCAGAAAGAGCTTGCTGACCACCCTTTTCAAAGAGTTCTATTTGGAAGTGAGCTCAGCAGCTTGCTAGAAAACCTACAAGGAAGTGTGTAGGAGAATCCTTCATAGTGAATAGTTCCAGCAGGTTATTCATCCAAGTAGCAACAATGTAGTGAGGTCATTAAGTAGTGACAATTTAATGACAGCATAACTGACTTTTTGCCTTTTTCTTTTTCTTCCTCCCTTACAACCATTCCCTCAGTAATTAGCCTTAGATTATTTCTCAGAACATAAACCACATTCTCTACAGGCAATTTGCAATCCCTCTGGTAGGAATTAGACTAAAAGTGTTAAAAACTAAACATGTCAAATGTCATGTAGATGGTATCCTTTTATTCCTCGGCTGGTGGAATTTAAATACACTTGTACGGAAATTAACCCTGCTGTGTAACGTTGAGTTGTGCCAAACAGCATGAAACAAAGGTTAACAGAGACCTGAGTGGCTGCGTGACCTCGCATGGCTCGGTATCACTGCCTCAGATATGAAATTGCTGAGCCCAACCTTCTACAAGCTTTGCCCTCAAGAGAGCTAAGCAAGCCAGTTAACAAGACACTGGGGAAAAAAAACCCCACACAAAACATACCCCATCAAATATGATTTAATTAATTACTTCCCTGCTTTCCCCTGTGCATGGAATATCAATTCTTCCCTGGTTTGTTCTTAGGGGAGTTTTACACACTCGCAAGAGAATTGCTTTTCCATCCACAGTTGTGCTCAGCTGACCACCTGCCACGAGCTGCACACATGGGATCCACCATCCAGGTAAGAAAAGTGTTCGTATGAAAGGCACAGCTACAATTTAAACCCTTCAAGATTAGATTTAGACTACAAATATGCACACAGTCCAGACTTCTTCATTATAAAATCTTAACCGCTCACTGCTCTTACTGTGCTGCTCACAATCCTCACCACACTGTAATACACATTTCAACAAGGGAGCAGGGACCAAGATGGGGCTAGTACTTGCATCATAGGATGCAACAAAGCATACAGGTAACAAACATATCTCAAACTATGCTAGCACACAGATACAACCATATCAGGCATTCAGTGATAGCAAAAGTGCACACGTACATGATAAGGAAATGGGAAAGAAATTTCTCAGCAGAAAGTATAAAAGCAATCTCTTGCATCTACCCACAACAGAAATGGATGTCAAATCGCCTAGAAAATTAACTACAGCTACATGCACTCTTATTTGTTTTCTTTATAAGGCGGATCTCTCTATTTTGAGGATTTCTTTAGGAAATGCCCAGCCACAACTTGGTGATCTCAGCCAGTTCCCACTTCTACCTGAGACACAGCAGTTCCACATCCTCATGCCTTGTTCAGGTCAGTGAAAGTGGCATATCATCGGATTTCAGATGGCTCTTTAAAGCTTGCTTTTAAATTATTTTAGAAGGAACAGGAAGCTTCACATTTGGAAGCTGAGACTTAAATGATATTGAAAACTGGAGTCTATGCACCCACTAAGTTAACACTGCTGGCAGCAGCAAATCAAGCTAGGTGTGCCACTGGTAACTGTAGGAGATATTCACACATAGTATTACAATTTACATCATCAAGAGAGACTACAGCTTGTCTGTAATCCTCACTGACAACTAGAAACTAAAGTAAGAAGGATACATATGCAGTCTACTGCAAAAACTGACCCTAACTCGAAGGCATTAACCTTCTTCTACGCTTTAGTCCTAACAAACCAATATCTTACCTGAAACATCGATATCTCATAGCAAGTATAAGAAAAGCTCATCAGCTCATGCACAGACATCACTTGAAAGTTATTTAAAGGTCAGTGTAATGCAGAAGGAGTATCTCAATGTTTCAAGAGCAATCATCTTTACAGGGCAACCTTAACTAGCTGTGGATGAAATACTGGATTCCTTTCATCCTGTTATGACTCCTGCGCAAGAAAGGAAGAATCAATTTAGCCATCTCTCCCTAAAACATTTGTTTGTTTTCTTGTCCACTTCCAGACAAGGACAGGTATGCTCAACCAGGAAGCGTGGCACAAATTCAATTTCAGCACTATTATTTGTAGAAAAGCAAACGGGGTTTTACTAAAATAACAACTACTTTCTCCTCAATAAGTATTATCAAACATCTCCAGCACTATCAAATGCCCAAAAAGCAAAGCAGATCAGTTGCATCCCGTGCTGACGTGCCCATTCATAACGTAAGAATATGCTCACCATTCTTTGAAGTTCGTTGTCGGGTTCTTCTTTCAGTTACTAAAAGAAAAGTTATTAGTCAGGACAGAGTACAACCTACAATACTACAATAAAAGACTGACCTATTAAAATAAATGCTGCTATGATTATGCTGTATTTACAATTGCAAGAACTACTCTCCTGCCCCTGAAAATCCCTTTTTTTGTATTGAATAATTCCTGGGAGATTACCCAGACAAACTGTTCTTACAATTACAGACCATTACATGTGTAGACAAATGTCATCAATACTGTTTGTTGGGGTTTTTTTAAAGCAGAAAATTGGAACATTTCAAAATATTTAAATAATTTACAACGATTCCATAAATGTAATTTCTCCTTAATAATGTCTAATCCTGATTCTTTACAGATACAATATATTGTCATTACATTTCCATAACTGAAGTATTGTTTATTGCACTGGGATTCCAAGTGGAAAAAACCTCCAAGTCCAATAATCAAGAAAAAGCACGAAAAAATGCAAAGTACCTCTTTGAATTCTTTAAGAACAAAATGTAAAGAGTGCACCCCCCTGTGTTTTTCAACAGTGTAGTTATTGGAGTATAAAAGACTAGCAATTTTTAGACTAGAAACTCAGATTCAGTTTTAATTATATTCCTCCAAGCCTCAAGAGAACAGACACAGACAAAAATTATTCTCTCAGTAAGAAAACCACTGGTCAGACAAAATTTGAAATAAAATAAAAAATATGACAGATGTGCTTGTGATGTTTGTTTTAGAGCATCACAGGACTTTAAAACTGTATGTTACATGAGGATTTCCTATCAAAATAAAAATAAGAAAAAAAAGTAAGTATGAAGTCTTAAGATTCTACACAGTTAAAACATAAAACGTTTCTGTGTACACATTTTGCTGTGGGAACATGAAAAGAAAGCTATAGAAATAATTTACTGCAGTATCCATTTGAAATGTTGATGAATACTTCAGTTAACACCTAAATATATTCCCTATTTTCATTGTAATACTCCAGCTCTGAATGGGGGAATATGGAGATCTGGTACTACTACCTACACCATGTTCCATTTTCAATAATTAACCTATTAAACTCACAAAAATAGCCACTTGCAGCATTTTTATCAATACGTAAGATACAAAACAGACAAACTCTATCAGTGTCTGACCTAGCCCATCTCACTTCAGTTGAAAAAAATTTGAAAAAGTGAGTGCCAGTTTGCAGCGGCCAAGCAACTTTATCACAGACAAGGGCAAGACCTCGAGCTGAAGAGCAGCAAGGGCACAGGGCAGTACAGAGTAAGCTGCAAATGCAGTGTTACTCACTTACAGTAGCTGCAAGCATTTCAGTTCAAATTTTTGGTATTTATTCCTGGGGTTTGGAGTTTTTTTTCCCCTCGGCACTTTGAGCTATAGTGAACAAGTTGGTTTACCTGGAGGTGCACTGTGCTTATATTCCAGCTTGTGCTGTGGATTCTTCCTGCAAAGAAGAAAACAGTAAAAGCTTGATTTGCCACCTTGATCCACACTTAACAAGCCCTGAACTCCTTCGTATTTCATGGATAAATTTTCATTTATTTTTAAAATAAAATTCTGTGACCAGTACCTTACTGCAGTGTCTCATCTTATAGAATGTAGGGTGGAAAAAAAAAACATGTAGTTAAATAAGAGTTCCACTTGCTTCAGCATTTAAAAAAAAATATAGATGGTTGGTCAAAACCAGGGATGAGATAGTTTCCAAAGTTGCATGATAAGATGCATTTGCTCAGTGTAATAAGTAGTGATCCAATTATTTACTCAGACTAAAAATGAAACTAAAACATAACTTCTGGTGCACTAAGTACAATGTATGCACAGTGCATCACAGGTCTGAGGTACTCAGGCATAGCATCCATATTCTGCAATGTAAGGCTACAAAATTAAATAGTTTGGGAAAATTAAAGAATTTTGAAAGATCTGCTTGTTTCAAAGGATCACAGAGAGAGGCCACAGATGGATTCTTCAGAGAGATTACTTATTTCTGCAGTACACTGCTGCAATCCAGCAAATTCAGTTTACAAGTTTGTATGTCTTCTGTAAAAAAAATAGCATCAAAGCAGTGAAAGAAAATTTAAAGTCAACATACTCTTGGATCTGCAAGACCTGTTCCCCTCCCTCATTCTGGCTGTGATTAACACGCTGATTTATCCCCCCATACCCCCGTGTTATTCAAAACTGTTGCAACTCCATTTATTTTTGTGCAGAAAATTTTTTAAAATTCTGACTTTGGAAGAAGACCGGTTCAGTTGTCCTCATTTTTGCTTCTGAAAATAAGCAACAATTACAGCCCAGTATTTAAGAAGGACATACCATGTGACACTGCCTGAAACTTGAGGCAAATTTCTGCAACTGCAGAAGTTTTTGTGTATTTTGCAAAGTACCCTTGCTGTGAAGACTGCCTTGTAAAATCAGTTGCTTATTTAGGTTTCCTTATTCTTCGAAGAACAGAGTAATGCAGCGAGTCTTCAGTAGAAAAATCTTATTTTTATGTCAAATAATTTGTGAAAAATTCAAACACTTGAAGTTGATTTACAATTCTATAGCTACTGCTATTCTGAAGTACATTATGTGTGCATTAGAAGTGACAATTACCCGAATAAAAAAATGGAAATAGTTTCCTATTAAAAATACTGTACTGAAACAGTATATTTAATCGCTATTCCTGTGTTTTACTACTATCAGCAGCATCAGACCATGTGATCCCAACTCAAGGCACAGCATTTAGATCATTCAGCTATGTTCCCTTCAAGTAGTAGCCAAGAGATAAAGACAACAAAAAACCCACTAAAAACCTTCAAATTTTATCTGTTGCTTCATTAAAAGAATTACCATTGCTTCATGGATGCCTTCTTTCCTCTACCCCAAAGAATGAAACACAGATTAAGAAATTATCAACTAACACAGCACAGAGGTTGTCTTAGCTGGAAGAAGAGACAGTTTGGCTTTTGGGTAAAGCATCCATTGTACTCCTGAGAAGCATGTTGGCAATTTCACCACCAATATAAATCCAGATTTCTCATCCTAAAATGAGAAATTAATCTCATAGATGTTTTTCAGAAAAGAAACACTTTTTCTGCATTAGCTGAATATAACATGGCTTTTTATTAAAAGCAACCCTCATTTTGTTTTATTTCATAGAGAACACGCTCTTTAGGTTCACCACACTTTCCAGGAGAGAGAAGAAAAAGTTTCTACTCAGGCACAATCTAGCAGGCATTAATTCCAATATGCCCATACAGAAGTGCTACTGCTTCAAAATATATCCTTTAGTGCATTGTTTCAATTACACAGCAGGCATTAAACTCTGCTAAATAAAAATGTAAAACCTAGACACTGAGAAACAAAATGGAATAAAATAATCTTTTGAAAAAAAAAAAATCAACAGTGCTTAAAAGAAACTGTACTAGTCAGCCATAAACTGAATTTTACTGCTGTTACTTAAATTACACTTTCTAACAAATCAAATACCAATTAAAGTATTTTTTATAAAATCTCAACAAATTTTTAAATTTAAACTAAGATTTACATATCTAAGACGTACATATCTACATTACTAAATCAAAATTTAAATTCACGTATAAAGGACAACATCTGACAATAAATTACTCTTTTATATAAAGAACAACAGTTTACTACATGCAGACAAGCAAAAAGGCATTGATCTCTAGGCCACTGAATAGGTTCCAAAAGACAAGTTTTCAGGCTCGCCAGCTGAAATCACTAACAAATATTTTGCACAGACTTTGATGCTTTATAGGTAGCAGTCTGTCCACGGTTCATTTCAGAAGGCTATGGCCCAGATTTAGTACCAAGAATTACTCATTATTCTATTGTAATTTTGCAGCTCTAGGGGAGAACATGCTTAACCTGTAAAACAAGAAAAGCCACTTTGTACAGTGTTTCTCACCTATAACAGGCCGTTCCATACGGACATTCAGGCCGGTTATCACTGTCATCCTGAGTTACTCTCTCTGTTTCATGATAATCATCATCATTAGGGTGACTGAACTGCTCAAAGTGAATGGGATTCTTCCTGCAAAATACAAAGAATATATTGAGAACTGAGCCATCTGAACATGAGAAGTGGAAATCAGAAAGGTGTTACTGAATCTGTGATAACTCATTTTTATGTGGAGGAGCTTTTAATGTTTAACTTTATGCAGAATGTAAGACCTACTTTCAGGATAAGAGAAGAAAAGTTTTGTCTCAGCACATGCTGCAAAAAAGGCTAAAACAAGAATTTTCCTATTTGCCACCGGCTTTTAAGTTTCGGACCTCCAACACATACAGAACCTCCTGATGCAGTTGTATAGCATGAATCTTACTCCGTAGCCAACTCAGTTATGACTCCCTCTGAAGCTATCAAAGTGTTAGAGAAACCACTACCAAAATCTTAGCTCAAGCTGGAAGGGCCAACACATGGCAGCTGAACAACTGCAGTATTAAAGACTCCCCACACCCTCAGATGATGGCCTATTAGCTTCAGGCAATATACCTAAATTATTATTTCTGTTCTATATGCAAGTTACTACTCACTTGAATGCTTCAAATGCCAGCATATTACTCCAGATGAAGCAACCTACTGGAAGTTTGCCTTGGCTATCATGACATTTTATTTGAAATACCAAATTATAACGATGACATGAAGTTGTACCGTAAGACTTAACAACTCTGTACATAGCTGAGTCAACCAATGTTAGGCATGAGAGCACGTTACTAGCAACCACGACTTTTTGCTCTACAACACTTACGCATCTGAATCCAAGGTGAGCAAATAGTGAATACAAATATATGCATCACTGAAAGAATAGTTCTACTCCTTCTAGGCAACAGGTTTGCATAAACACCATACAAGACAAGGCAGCAATAAACAACATCACTTAGAGAAGAGTTTGCTTTATAAAACTTAAGTGATGTCAAAAAGAACACAGAAAAACATGTTACAGCTTCAGAAGAGATTTATGACAGATTGAAACATACAACAAAAAATTGTGTCAAAGTGAACATTAGTGGTACCAAAAGCAAACCTTTTTCCCTATGATTTCTTTTAGAGATAATTTATTCAAGCATATTTAAAAGCAAGAAATGTAATATTTTAATAAATTATTTTCCGAAGACATCTACAAAATGTTTCAATGATTTACCACACTAATTCCCAGAGTACATAGTCTTTAATGTGTTTGTGCAAATTATAAAAGTGAACTGCTTGCCTCAAGCAAGAGGAATGACAGATTTAAACTACAGAATGATTAGTGCTTTAATTTATAATTCTTACAGCTGCATTTGGAAACACAAAGCCAGAAATGTGTATGTAGCTAGCTACGCGTACAACAGCTTCCTCACTGATCACAGGCATTATTTCCTTTAAATTCACAACTACCTCTTATGAACTTTATAGGGAACAGTCAATATTAATTTCAGCATTTCAACTACCACCAAAAGAAAATAAAGCTTTCATTACAGCTTTTGCAAAATGATCACTTAAGTGCCATGAACCCTACCAGCCATTCAGGCCCCCTTTTATGCATTTGAAAAAGTTTCTTTAGTATAAACACTTTAAATCTCCATTTGCCTGGTATCTTTCATTGCAAGGTTGCATTTACCAATCTTTTATTCTACAAGAAGTTCTCAGGAAACATCACTTCTTACACCAAATTCAGACAGGCTGCTGCCTACTTTTCCCATTTCAAAGTAAATGGAATGGAACCAAGTCATTTTAGAGGCTACTTGCTTTGTTTTCGAAATGCACAGAGCTACCTGACTAGCAATATTAGCAAGAATTTTCAGTCATTTGCAACACAAATCATCTTCTCAAAGGGACACAAAGGCAACTGTTCTGTGAAATTACTATTTATTCCTACAATAAGATACATGTAGCATCATAGTCACCAAGGAAAGAAAGCCTTATAGCTGTCGATTAGCCAACCTCTCGTATTTTAGGAGACATCCATTTCCTTTCAAAAATTTACTTCAAAACCTACTTGGACAACAAACCGCCCTTATTGGAGGAGAGGGGGGGGAAAAAAAAAAAAAAGGAGGAGGAATAGAAACAAAAAGCTCTTGATGTATGCTCCCTATCACTAGGCTTCGGGATTCTTTGGTCCAGTGGGTGATGTTCCTCAAATTATATATTACCTGTGAAGCACCTTAAATTCTATGCATTGAGCAACAATATCCGACAAAACAGAATTTTCAAACAGAAAAGTGCATAGCTTATATTAAGAAAATATTTTTTAGGGTTTGAGTTGTCTGAAGGAGGTTAGGGGTTTTTTTTTTTAGAGAGGTTTGAATTGCAAGAGCAAAACATCGATCATGCTGTAAGTTGCACTCCAAAGTTAGTTTCACAACAAAACCTCACTGCATTTGATCAAAACAAAATCATCAAGCTTTACTTAACCTATTAAAAGCCTATTTTAAGAATAAAGCTTTATGAGAGCTGCCTTCTCATAAACATATACAGTTACTGCAACTTTGCTAACACAGAAGCTCTGAATTTGTGTACTCACACTTCATGATGCAGAAAATGATGCAAATAAAACATATAAAGTTTTACAGAATCAATGCAGTCATCTCAAGCAGAAGTTGTGCTCAGTGAAATTTTTAAGACAATTTTTCCATCTGTGCAGCTATCAAAAGCAAAAACCTTTTTCTAAAGCAAGTTTCACTGATTAGCTCAAAATCCCTGTTTCTCTATAATTGCATGCAGAAGACCCTTGCCATCTCAAGGGCTTATTTTCTCAGCTACTTAAGTAACTGGTAGTGAAAATTTAATGAATTACCAGCACTAGTTATAAAGCTATAGATTTCAAGCCTGAAGTTATGCCACAACTGCTTGTAAGCAGTGTTTGCAAGTTCTAAGTTGGAAGTCTTATTAGAAGACAGGGCTCAAAAAAAGGCAGACGCAGGTATCTAGCTGCCAGATTTACAAGGTTAAGGTGAAAGGAAAAATACTTATTTTCATAAACCAAGAGCAAAGTATTTAGAAGAACACACATACAAATCCAAAGGTTGGTTTGAGCATGCCCTGCTTTGAGAGCTATGGAAAAGAGATTTACACACACGCAGTCAGCAGAGAACTGTATCGCAGACCGATAAAAGGACAGAATTGTGGACAAAAATTGTGAGATACAGTTTTAGAGATGAGAGTTCAGGTCTACAGCACCCCCTTCCATGCAGCCCTTGAAAAGGTGGATAGAGTTTGGATTTATTTTTAATTCCTTAGTCTTCTAACTTTGGAAAAACAAGCAGCAGACAGGAAAATGAATACAGGACAGTATTCAAAGAGTAAGTTCCTTGACAACAAACATAGTCAGACATAACATTCACAAAGCACTTTGCCTCCTGGTGGTAATCACAGTTTCTTTCAATTCAGCAGTGCTTCAGGCTACCTCAGAAAGAGAATCTGAGGCTGAAGGATGATGACAAGAAGAATCCCTGGAGCAAGAGGTGTGCATCAAGACTGATCCTTTCAAAAGCAGTGTTTGCAAATTCATAAGTGAACAAACTGAACTATGGGTTACAAAGTTACTTCCTAAATGTTTAAGATATGCGTTAGAAAAATCTAATAAAATTAATAGAAGTAATATCTTTTCAATTCATGCTGTTTTACCAGGCACCTACCAAAGGTGCCAAAACCATATCCCGAAGATGAGTATCTCGTCATAGAAGTTTCTAAAACAAAGATTAGAACACTGGAGAGCATTTAGTTATCAGATAAATGATATTTATGAATCAAAAACCTCACCTAGCAAAAAACTTTAAGGAACTGTTACAGTTCCTTAACGCAGTACTCATTTAAGATGTTGACTCCTACAGCACACCTTGTCAAAAGACATTTCATAAGGTTAAAGTAATGAAGGAGCAGGAAACCAGCTACCCATTGTACCAAAGCAGCTATTCTTCCTTACAACTCTAAAAATTGGATTTTTGCTCAAGGAAAGCACCACAAAATGAAAAACTGAATATGCTACTAATGTGTTCTTTCAGAGTGTCCATTCACACCACACTTAGGTACATGTTCTGTTAAAAATATGGGTAACTGCAGTGACCTGCTTTAACATAGCTATCCCATTGATGCAGAGACTACTTTGTGATCTTGTATTAAAAGCAAATACCAAGACTAAAAAGCATATTTCTTTTGCTGTAAACAAGCAGGTTTAGTCTCATGACATTTCCCGCAGATCAAAGCTGATGGTTTTGATACTTCATGTTTACAAAGTTCTCCAACAGAAGACTGTTATATGTTACTCCAAATAACTATTTTTTCTCACGTAACAATACTTTTGAAAAGTACCTGCCAAAAGTTTTAGAATAAAGGCCCAAGAACAAAAGTGCAGATACAGACTCCTATTCCACGTTACATGTAACTAAAATTTGCCTTTCTAAAAATTAGGAATCCTTCAGCATACTGGAGCATTAAATCAGCTTAACCCCCATACAGGGGATGACTTGTCTTAGCAAAATTACAAGTAGCTGAAGCAAACTAGAGGCTGCATTTATACTACTGAATCAGCTTAGCTGCCTAAAAACCCATATTTTCATCATGTTCATTAAGAGCAAAATTTGAGATATGTGAATAAAGCTACGTGAAAGCTGGAAATCTGATGTGTTCCTTAGTGTACCAGCTTGACACTTCTGATTTACACATCGAACCTAAACAAGAATGCATTTACTTGTGCTTGTTTGTTTTTAAACAACCTCAATGTTTTCCCTATTGTTCAAGGCCCTTGAACAATAGGGAAAAAAATAAAGGGGGGGGCCGAGAGGGGGAATAAAAAAAAAGAAAAAAAAAAAGAAATCACAGGACTCTGTTTCCTGGCTTAGCCTTATCCTTCATGCTTACAGTGTACACAGATTTATCTAAAGCTCAAAGACTTCTCCTAAATGCAGTCACCAGGTCACTGGTCATTTGTTAGCCTCAAGTCCATCTCTAGATTTATATCTTCCCTTTGATAGACCAACACACTGCACTCCAGATCTACTCTGGGCAGAAGGAACTAGCAGGTGGCCAGGCACTCAGCACTGGTGATTTGGAACTTCATTGGAACATTTGTATCACGCAAAACATTTGTATGACAGCACTTTCACCATGAAGTGAGAGGATACGAGTAGGAGAAAAAAAAAATTTTTTAACTTGTTCTTCACTTAAAGTATTACCAAAGACGCTGACCAGATAGGGGTTAATATGGAGTTTGTAGGTATGCCTTGTTCTGGCTTTGGGGAGGGGCTGAAAGCATTAAAAAAAAAAAGGCAGACTAGACAATCTATAATAAAAGTAGTTCTTGATTATTTAGGTATGACAAATAAGTATTTTAAATATTCAGATTAATAAGCATGCAATAACTTCAATAAATCATTAACAGTCATCTTTCACAAAAGTTTCACCTGCTAATAAAACAAGCCTACAGGGTCTATGTTGGGCACTTCAGTGTTCACGTCTTCCTGCTGGTACATGTACTGTACACACAGGGTTTTTATTTCTTTTCTTTTTAAAACAGATCTTTGTTTCTCACGTACTAGCACACTCCATCTTTTAATTTGCTGAAGTACTTTATCCCTTGTTTGGGACAGATCAGCAGTGAGCAAAACATCCTGGCTCCTCCCTTGACACCTTTAAAATCCTTGTTATGCCATTTGTTTCTCATCAGTGCCTTGCTTACCAAAAGATTTTTTTCAAATCAAAGCTTGTGATGACTTTACTCTTTCCTCTTTTATAGCTAATACATTACTTCTTAATATAAGCTATCTTAAGCTAGTTTTAGTTTGCTTTACCTGTAACAGCCTGTTCCATACATGCAAGGTGTCCTCTTACGCTTGATCTGTTTGGAGCCTTCTGAAGCATCTGCACTTCTGGTTGAATCAGAAATCTCAGTCTCGTAATCCATATTTGCATCAGGCTCAAGAATCCCTTCCTGGGCACCAAAATATTGGAAAGTCCTGCCCCAGTGAGCTTGTTGGCTTGTAGAACCAGTAATCTGCTCTTTGTTTTCTGTTTCCTCAATTATATTTGTTTTACTGGTGATCTGACCTATTCTTTTAGACCATTTACTATGCAGCTGCCTATCATTTTTTTCCAGAGAACTTCCAGGGTTTTTTGTTCCAGTCTTGACATTTCCTTCCATGTTTCCCATGGTACTCTCAAGAGGAAATCCAGATGTATTCTGTGAAACAAGGTTACATTTTGAAGGACCTGAAAATTTACACTCTTCAGAATTAAAAGCTTCAAGGTCAAACTCTGCCTCATCTCATCATTGCGGTTTCCAAAATCAGAGAATCATAGAACAGCCCAGGTTGGGAGGGACCTCAAAAGTTCAACTGGTCCAGCCTTTAAAATCTTCTACTCCACCTTCCAAACTCAAGTTAGCTGCTAATACAGCTGCTGAATAAAAGGCTCAAGGTAAGAACACACACACAGACAATTTAAAGAAAAACTTATCCTGGAGCTCCTGTCATCAGCTTCAGTTCCCTCACAACACAGTCAGGCTCCTCTCTCACCACCTCAGTTTGTGAATAGTTCAAGGACTTTAGTTTAAATTACCTTTCAATTAAAAGTACTGCTCCTGAAAAAATGAATGGGGGTTACACACGTGAAGATATAGTAGACTCTAGAAGACATATATTTATCTATTAATGGGAGATATATGGGAATTCATGATAGATACCTTGAGGTTAATCCTACCCCAATACATTTTAAATGCTTCAGCTATAAATCATACAACAGTTTGTCAGTAGACAGCATCAGGCAAAGATTTCACTTTTGATAAATACTGCATTTTAAATTTTGGAACACATGTATACTTAAAATAAGAGATGTGTGCTTTAAAAAAAAAAAAAAGAATACGAGATACATAAACAAGCCAGGAACATTGTCCCACTAGCTGAGACACCGCCTGGAAGCCTACCTATATCAAAGGCTGAACTACTCTGACACACTACAGAACTACTCAAAGGTCTCTACTCTCTAGAGTTTTGTATCTAAGTTACCCCCTCCAGTAAATTTATACTCAGTTTACACAGATGTGTTTGACAGAGCTTGAAAATCAGCTGGTGGTTTCCTATTTGATCCCATTCCTTTCAATACAAGTCTTAACAAATTGTTAGCCAAAACCAAAGACAATTACATTTAAGCAGCAATGTGATTAAGAAAGGGCAAAGTCAGCATTAGTATCAAATGATCCTGACAGTAGCATATTTAGCAAGTCAGCTTGGAGATAGATATGACTATTCCATTGAGACTCCCAAAATAAGACTCAGTAAACAACTGCAGTTTAGGAAATAAGCCCTCATTCCCAGAGGAAGGGCTAAATTACTTTATCTAATTTGCCTCTCTCACTTGGGACTTCTCTCTACTACATACTTCAACCCATTGCCTAGATTGTATCTAATGAGAGTAAACACTTGCAGTTTTATTGTGGCAACTAGTTAAAAAACAAGCTGCAACCAAGGAAAACTGAAGACTCCAGCATGACTGGCACCGGTTACAACGTGTGCATGACCCCACTGCCATGTGGCAGCTGTGCCACTTAGAACAGAGATTCTTTTTACCTCCTACTCTACAGCAGGCTTTCTTAATTGCCTTATATGTGACAGCAGGAGAGTGATTTTGGTTTTGATATCAAAATTCCAATCTTTTAGAGCTCTCTTATTATTCCTTTTGCTTGCACTAACCCATTATTTTTTCTAAAAAGTTCTGAAGGCCATTTTTTACACTGTGTTTGAGATAAAAACGTTTTATGAAATTAGGAGAAAATAAGTAATGCTTTCATACTTAAAAACTGCAAAATAAAATAATTCATTATGTACTCACTCGTAACTTGACAAAGAAAAAAATAGCACTGTAGCTGGTGTTAATGTACCTAGCCAACAAACCTCACCACTCAGAACACTTTTTCAGATTAAAAGGTACCACTGCATTTTATCAAAACTACCCTGAAGGGAATGCTCTCCATGAGTAGATCATTTCAATTAACCTTAAGATTTAATTAAAAATCAAAACCAATGCAGCATGCTAAATATTTTTTTATCAGATCCTGTAACAGATCCAGGCAATTCTAATGCTAGAGACTAGAAACATCTCCCTGGATTGTTCACTTAAAGGAAAAGTCAGTGAAAGCCTCACTTTGCTCTCACCAGCATATGTTTTGTCTTTGATAATGATCCTTCCCATTCCATTACTAGGAGGGTGCTATCAGTAAGCATTTAACTGCCTATAAATGCAGCTGTACTTTAAAGACACACAGACACACTGACCAGCTGGACTGAAGTGTCTGTTCACTCATTGCCACTGGTAGTTTTGGATTTCAGACTACTTTCTTTCCTTTTTTTTTGACTCAGATTTTGAGGTAGTGGCATAAGCACACCCCCATACTATCTTTCTTCAAAATGTAGCAGTTGCTAAGCCACATACAGTAATTTTCTGACCATAAAACTTCACCAACTAGAATGGCATTCGCTTGGGCAAAGTCCAGTGTAACGTTACACCAGTGTCATACCACTACCTACCCCTAAAGGGTTCTTGGAGAAAGAAACCACACACCAAACCACTCTGAGCACTTTGGCCCACCAGCACTTTGGCCCACCTCTTCCAGCCTCCTGCTGTAAAGCTGAACATTTGATATTTCTGTGGAACATTCATGGCCTAAATCTCAGATCCCAAGAAGGAAGTACAGAAAACGCAGTCTCTGAAGGCTTCCAGGATCCTTGTTATAGAGCTGTCCAATGGACTGGCATTTCAAAACAATTCTTAACACAACAAATCACAAGCAGAACACATAGTTATGTGGCAGACCCAGCCTTCAATGAGACGCTGCCAACTGCAATCTCTTTTTTGAAAATACTATGGTTCTGCCTTCAGCCAAAAAAATTACCTGAGATGAAGGGACGGGGATGGAAAGACAGCTCCTTTTCCCTTGATCTTGCTCTTCACCTTCAAAATCCTCTATAGTTTCTTCAGAGGCTAATCTTTTTTTCTGTTGCACATTTACTTCTGATTTTAATGACTCTGTATCACTTTCACTCCTTCCTTGGCCTTTTTTCATTCTACTACCTTAAAGAAAAATAAAAAGGTACTTTTGGAATGAAGCTTTTACAGTGAAATCCTGAACCACATTAGAAATCCAAAGCTACCTCAAAGCAGAACACTGGGTAAAAAGCACGAGTAATAGCAGCAGTTATGCATGTGCTCTTCCCACAACACATTTTTCACTTCTTGCTTATAAGAGTAAAAAGTATGTTTTAGAAGGAAACATGCTTGAAGGGGAAGTTTGGAGGAAAACAGTAAGTATGTAGCAAAGGATGTTCTTGACTGACTGTATCAGTACAACTGACAATTTCTTTTGCAGAATAGGAGCTGATGAAGTAAACCACATGTCCAAAGAAGACTTTTACCACACACCTAGCTTTTATGTAAGTATCACTTCAGATTACCTCTTTAAACACATAAAGATCAATTACATAGACCACGGCAAAATCAGGGTGTGTCCACTTGTCTAGTGAACCACACCACAGTTGATTATTTCATCAGCCAGTAACCAACAGAAACAAAGTGAATGTTGTGCCTCTCTTTGGAAAGCTTCACATCTCAGAAAACTCTAAGATCTCTGTACTGACGTACTATTTTCTGAATATACAGCTGGGAGACAGCTAGGACCCTTGTTCTGGTTTTGTTATAGCTCCATCTGCTGCAAAATGCATTCAGAAGGAAGATACTTGAAGCCATTCTGCAAGACTTCAAAAACTCTCCTGCTTCCAAAAATACTGACACGCCAGAGTCACGTGTATGAAGCAAGGAATTTTTCCAAATTTTCATGTCTGACTTGAAAACCACAAATCAGTGTTACCTTTCCAGTAGGAAGACAGACAGAAAAGAATAAAAGGGCAGCCTTCTAGTTTTACTCTCTACCTTCCCATCCAATACCACCCTGAAATGATGCAAAACATTTCACAATTCTAAGGAAGTGGTTTAGATTTGCAGAAGAGATTGGTTGTTTTATTAAAATTGCCCATTCTGAACTGGAATTATTACCTTACGTAATGACTTTTTAAACAGCTCCAGCAGTGTTCATCTGTATCCCTAGCTCCCTCAAGGTCAGCGCTTCAACAGCACACAAGATACTCCTTGCCCACACAGCTCCAAATCTCAACACTTAGGTCATCAAAACGTTCAGTCTTTGAAGCAAACATTATATGCACATATACAACAAACATTATAGTGCTTGTGGAAAAAACAAAAACCAAACCAAAAACCCACCCCAAAAAGAACACAAACCCCAAACATAAGAAAACAATAATCACAGTAGTGCAGAACTCAGCACAGCCAGCGGAGTCCTCTGGTACATGCAATTTTTACATCTGAGGGATAAGCCGGCAGGGAACAGTATAGATTTTGAAAAAAAAAAAAAATTAAAAGTGAAGTTTCTTTTGCTTATTATAATTTTCTCAAAATTAGCTTTTGAGGACAGGAATAGGCAGGGTAGCCAATGGCATAGAGCAGAGGTGTTTACAGCCACAACTGCCCAGGTCAATCCATCCAGACACCTGCATTTCCTACAGGAGGTAGGAAGCTGTTGGTCAGACACTGCATGAAGCACCACAGGCCTGCTCAGGCATCAAGAGCCAAATGTTTCCATCACACCACCTCAGCAGAAATAGCAGGTGGAAAGAGAGGCCTTGCAGAACAGGTGCTGGACACAGAGAAGCGGACATTGCACGATGCGTGTGGACATGCCACCACAGTTCATACTCTTAGGCTAGGGAAGGAAACTCAGCAGTTAGCACCCAAACCCCTCACACGCCACCACAAAAGAGCAAGAGGGTGAGGCGTGCTGTCTTCAGCACACAGAGACAGAAACACTGGGGGAGTTGTTAATGTAGGTAGTCATTTTCCTTCTTGCTTTTCTTTAGTCCTCCAGTTCCATCAATAAAAGTCATCACAGCAATAAATGCTTGCGGTAAGTTTGTCAGAGAATGGCCAATGGATGTTTTTCAAGTCTTTACAAGCACCCAGGACCAAAGCAGGACATGCTACAAAATTTTCTTGGGATTGTGCCCATGCAGCCAGCACCCTTGTGTCTCCCACTGATAGTTACTAAACAGTATTCTGCTGCTGTTACTGCTGATACACAGCGGTAGAAGTTTATCATACATTCAGCAATTTCCTTTTGCGGGAAGGATGAGAGGGTATGCAATATTATTTTAGCTCCATATTGGTAAGAAACTACTATACTGTGATGAACTGTTCCTCTTAGGAAGTAACTTGGGACTAAGTGATCACGTTTGATTCAGTTACAGTTAAAAATCTAACACACACCACCACCCAAAGAACCCTAACTTTAAAACCTGTGAAATCAGAAGAATCTAAATTTGGAAGGGCAATACATCAGTGACAAACATGGAGAAGGCTCAGATAAGGGTACAGAAACTATCTAGAATTTACATATTAAACAAAACAGGTGAGTTTATAGGAAAGGGCTCCAGTACATCAGATACTCAGCTGTCCAAAGAGAGTATATTACCTGGCATTAAAAAAAAAAAAAGGGGGGGAGGAAAGAAAATCAAGTGATCAGAAAGAGCACTGTCACACCTGTAGGGCTGATGACAAAGGCAAAAACAGAAGTAAGTCTCTGTCAGCTGCCAGGCACAGAGTGTGGAAAGAGAAACAACAAATTAATACTTGATACCAACACCATTATAATTTCAGAAAATTGTATCAAAGCACATAAATGTATATTGGTATGCAAATCTACTGTATTGCAAACCTACCTCCTTTCATTACAGGCTCAGAAATCCTCTGAACCAGGCCATCTCTTTCCAGCATCCAAGATGGAAGCACTCTCTTTCTTTGAACAGATTTTGACTGTTCACTTTCATTATCATCAGAAAGAGGAACCTGAAACAATATTTACTGTTTAGTACCTTTTCTCAGTTACAAAATAGGGGGAAAAATCTAGATCACAAGTTTGTACAGAGTTATGTTCTTCAAATGCAGGCAGGATAACTACCTACATTTTGGATGGTACCATTTGACTAAAATTTTTTTTTTTTTAACAGTTCCTATTCAGAAAAAGTAACATCTATACAAATCTTCATGCAGCAGAAGAAAAAAACAAAAACAAAAACAAACAACCCTCCTTTAGACCTTTGGAATAATATCTAGAAGGTTACAAACTGAGAGTTTCACAGAAGAGCTCTACCAGCCACTTGCTGTAGAGTTTCCACAGAGGTAAGACAAAGAGCAGGTTTAAGAAACAAATGCCTATTTGTCAAAAAAAACCCAGAGAAGTTTTGCTAGCATTCTTTCAATTCCTTTCTCCAGAAAGGAATCACACTCTAAATCTTGCCTGTAAAAACAATTTAAATACACCAAAGTCGCATTCAGTACATGCTTATTTACTGAATACCATCAGTCTGAATCTCTACTTACTAAAAAGTAAGTATCCATCCCAGGAACCTCAGCTACAGCAAAGGCTGACATTTTATTTGTTGTATGTAGTTACCTGCTGTACAATGATGTTGACCAGCGTGTCCCTTTTAGCACCATGTTGCAGGACACACAACAGAAGATCTAAGAAAACCCCCCCTGGCTCCATACACTACTTAGCAGACTGCCTGAAAGCCATTTGACTTGGCAACATTTAAAAAAATCAAAACATTCTTGCTTTGAAAAATGTTTTGCTGGGCAGCATGCTGACTGCCAGGTGAAAACTGGAGGGTTGTTTGTCTGTGTGTTTGTACGGAACTTGACAACACAACTCCATGATAGCTGTATGATTCAAATGAAATAGGCTGCTAGTACACTACAAACAGGTATTACTTAGAGCCAGCACAAGGCATCTACAGTCCAACTACAGGCTCTCCAGATATAAATTTCAGAGGCTTTTAGACTGCTTGAAAGAACAGTCATTCATTCCCCTAGGCCTTCACAGGGATTTACGGGGCAGTTACTGATATAGATCAGAGACCAGAACTGGACTTTGCTGTGTAGTACTGAACTCAGCTACTATATTATTAGTTCAAAGTTCCTGTAGCAATTGTTGTATACTCAAGAGTAAAAGTTACCGCAGTAAAATTATCATAAATACACAACAGAAATATGTTTATATAGTTGCGTGGCACACAACCCGAATCAATAAAACAACAGGTATTTTCAGTACACAACTTTGTCAATTTACTTCTTAGGAAGAAAAAAGTGTTTAGAAAACACACCACCTTTTTAATTTTCAACACATGCTACCAGTATTAAATTTAATTTAAAAATTAAGCACCCACCAAGTGTCTGGAAGTAGTGTCACTTTTTCTCATTTTTGCGATTTCCAGTATCTCAGTTAGAACATGCTGGTCCTACTAACAACGGACTATCAAACATCTCAACAGGATGAACAGTTGGTCCTTCTTCTGCATCAGCCTCCTGATTTTTTTCTGAGAAAACACATTAATTTTTAGCTAGTCAAACTCATCATGAATATAAAAATACACTTTTCACTTAAACACAGAAGCTGCTATGAACCAATCATTAACACACTTCTACACTGAATATAACATACTCTTATATCAACTTATAGAGGAAATAAACATGCCTTCCTTTCCATCTGCCACTGAAATTATTTTGAACCAAAGATTTTCCAATTGCTGCTGACCCCTACTGAACTGTGGTTTTGGTTTTTAAGTACGTAACTTACACTAATCACTGCCATGACAAAACTCTGAGAAAGCTGAAATTACAGTTTAGGATGCACTTTACTGTGAATCTGAGCAATTTATCAAAATTTTATTTTATATTACAAGTCATGTAACATTAAGATAGTTTTCAGGATCAGACACCCAATGAGTCCAGCACTTTTTGAGAAGTTCTAACTAAAGGCTGCAAGTCTGCAGCTCTGAGGTGACAGCACGTACTCAGGTGCTGGTTTTAAAGGCCTCAGTTCAGAGCCACCATGTCCAAAATGCTTTGCAGTCACAAAAGTGCACCCAAACTGCAACTGTTTTATCTTCAATGCTTTGCCTTTCCACTAGTCACAGAATCATGTAAACTGGAAAAGACCTTGAAGATCATCCAGTCCAACCATTAACCTCACACTGACCGTTCCCAACTCCATCAGATCCCTCAGCGCTGGGTCAACCTGACTCTTAAACCCCTCCAGGGATGGGGACTCCACCACTGCCCTGGGCAGCCCATTCCAACACCCAACAACCCCTTCTGCAAAGAAATGCTTCCTAATATCCAGTCTAACCCTGCCCTGGCACAGCTTGAGGCCATTCCTTCTTATCCTATTGCTTGTTACTTGGTTAAAGAGACATCCCCAGCTCTCTGCACCCTCCTTTCAGGTAGCTGTAGAGGGTGATGAGGTCTCCCCTCAGCCTCCTCTTCTCCAGAGTAAACCCCCCCAGTTCCTTCAGCCGCTCCCCATCAGACCTGCGCTCCAGACCCTGCACCAGCTTTGTTGCCTTTCTCTGGGTCATTCAATAGCCTTTTCATAGTGAGGGGCCCGAAACTGAACACAGTCACCGAGGTGCGGCCTCACCAGTGCCGAGTACTGGGATATGATCTCTTCCCTGCCAATTCACCAGCACAAAGCATTAGGGAAAAAAAGTCGAATTACTGCTACATTCACTGCCCAGCACCACTCGGGAGTCACTGTCGCCCCTTCTGCAGCTTTCTGCATCAGAGGGAAGGCACAGACTGACCAGCTGAACCATTCACCGCCTCCTAAGGACAAACAAGAGGCCACGCTCTGCACGCACAAACACACACACACACATTCCGCACACCTTTTCCGAACAGGCGCCTCCACGTTCGGTTCTGCACGGGCTCTCCCGGTCCTTTTTCCCCCCGACGATAGCGCCCGGAATGCAAGAAGCCCGGCCCCGGGGCTTCAGCGTGTACGCCCCTAAACACAGCGGATCAACACTCGCACCCACCCTGCCCTCGGGGCGCGGGGTGCCCGCGGGTGCC